ACCAGATGGAGAACATGAGAGCTGAGCTGCGCAACCTGGAGCACAACCATGAGCAGGTCCAACCAAACTCTGTTCAAAAAACACACCATTTAACCTCAAATAACAAGACACATACCCCCTGGGGGAGTTCAGTAGCTATATCCTGCTGATTCTTCCAACGCTCCCCTAGATTTAATTTTAAATAAAACCTTAACTTGAAATTCTGTTTAATGATAAATGGTTAAATCATAATTTGGGAACAACATTATTATAAATTGTTGTTTTTATAAAATATTATGGATGGATTTTTAAGGATTTTGAATTAATAAATGATTGGTTATAATTATGAATTAATTCTTTCAGGATTTTTAACTTTATATTTAGCTTTTATATCTCACGGGCAGTAAACTGATCAGGTCATGTGACTCGTCTACTTCCTGTCTGTCCTCACAGGATGTGCGAGGCCTCTACAATCAGATGGCAGGACGTGAGGTGGACGAACCAGACGCTCCCATAGAAACCAGTCTGGACCAGATCCTGGCCTACATCAGGAGCCACTGGGAGAAGATGACGGAGAGAAACCGAGCCGAGACCGACAGCTACCTGGAGTGTAAGGTGAGGATGAGTCACCTGCACAGGCGACCTCACATGTTGGACTGTTCTTTAAGGTGTTTCTGATGGCGTGTGTCTCGCTGCAGGAGTCGCAGTGTGTGAGCAGCAGACTGAGTCCTGAGGAGCAGCAGGTGGAGGCGCTGAAGGCAGAGTGTAACGACACCGGCTGCAAGATCCAGAGTCTGCAGGCCGAGACAGAGTCTATCAGAGCGCTGGTGAGACTCACACAGTGATCAATAACCCAATTGATTCATAGCTTAGCCCAGAAACACATCATCTCGTGTCTGTTGTCGTCCTGCAGAAACGAGGTCTGGAGAACTCCCTGGGTGATGCCCGACACTGGCACGACATGGAGCTGCAGAACCTGGGCTCGGTGGTGGCCAAGCTGGAGGCGGAGCTGGCCGATGTGCGCAGCGAGATCGAACAGCAGCGCCGCGACTACGACACGCTGCTGAGCAACAAGCAGCGTCTGGAGCAGGAAATCGGCATGTACCACGGCATCCTGGATGGAGAGGAGAGCCGCTTCCAGCCCGCTGAGATGCCGTGAGTCACTGCACCACAACTAGGCCAGACTATGGGGCTAGAACGTGACCACAGTGACCCCCTGACATCATCAGGACCACAGCGACCCCCTGACATCATCAGGACCACAGTGACTTCCTGACATGACCACAGTGACCCCCTGACATCATCAGGACCGCAGTGACCCCCTGACATCATCAGGACCACAGTGACCCCCTGACATCATCAGGACCACAGTGACCCCCTGACATGACCACAGTGACCCCCTGACATCATCAGGACCACAGCGACCCCCTGACATGACCACAGTGACCCCCTGACATCATCAGGACCACAGCAACCCCCTGACATGACCACAGTGACCCCCTGACATCATCAGGACCACAGTGACCCCCTGACATGACCACAGTGACCCCCTGACATCATCAGGACCACAGCGACCCCCTGACATCATCAGGACCATAGCGACCCCCTGACATCATCAGGACCACAGCGACCCCCTGACATCATCAGGACCACAGTGACCTCCTGACATCATCAGGACCACAGTGACCCCCTGACATCATCAGGACCACAGTGACCTCCTGACATCATCAGGACCACAGTGACCCCCTGACATCATCAGGACCACAGTGACCCCCTGACATGACCGCAGTGACCTCCTGACATCATCAGGACCGCAGTGACCCCCTGACATCATCAGGACCACAGTGACCTCCTGACATCATCAGGACCACAGTGACCCCCTGACATCATCAGGACCGCAGTGACCCCCTGACATCATCAGGACCACAGTGACCCCCTGACATGACCGCAGTGACCTCCTGACATCATCAGGACCGCAGTGACCTCCTGACATCATCAGGACCGCAGTGACCCCCTGACATGACCACAGTGACCCCCTGACATCATCAGGACCACAGTGACCCCCTGACATCATCAGGACCGCAGTGACCCCCTGACATGACCACAGTGACCCCCTGACATCATCAGGACCACAGTGACCCCCTGACATGACCACAGTGACCCCCTGACATCATCAGGACCGCAGTGACCCCCTGACATGACCACAGTGACCTCCTGACATCATCAGGACCGCAGTGACCCCCTGACATCATCAGGACCGCAGTGACCCCCTGACATGACCACAGTGACCCCCTGACATCATCAGGACCACAGTGACCCCCTGACATCATCAGGACCGCAGTGACCCCCTGACATCATCAGGACCACAGTGACCCCCTGACATGACCACAGTGACCCCCTGACATCATCAGGACCGCAGTGACCCCCTGACATGACCGCAGTGACCCCCTGACATGACCACAGTGACCCCCTGACATCATCTGGACCACACTTGCTGTTTGAGTTCCCGGTGAACTCTCAAACAGCAAGTTAGGAACATTAGGAGATAAAGGCAGATATGGTCGGTCAGCTGATCTCTGAATGTTCTCTTTCATGTCACATGAAAATATCATAACACACTTTCATAATTACCTGTCTAGGTGTTCAGGTCTGCATTCAGAGCCTGAGGGAGCTGCCAGTGCTTCTGTTCCTCCAGACTCCAGGACCGACACTCCAGGACCTCCAGGACAGTGACCCCAGTGGAGGATCTGAGGAGCAGACTCAAGTCCAGCAGAGACTTTGTGGATGTTTGTGTTTATTCAGACAAACGTGGACTCTGTGAGGTTGAACTGGTCTCTGCTGGAGGATTTTCTAGCTGGTGACGTGTGCAGGTGTGAATGATGCTGAGAACCTGCAGCAGGAAGTCCAGAGTGAACAGTGATCAACAGGAGGCAGCGAATCAGAGTGAAGATCTGAGGTCATGTGATCTGAAAGGGTTTCTGCTCTATCAGTGAGTCCTCAGGTAAACCTGATCCCAGAACACCTAGACCCGGCCTGAACTGGTGCTCAGGTCCAGACTGTAGAGGGTTCTGGGGTTCTGGATTACTTCGTTTGGACTTGAGTTGAGTGCTTCTGTAAGAATTAAAACGCTTCGGGTCTCAGTTTAGTTTCCTGAATCTCTAAAGTCCAAGGTGGTGAGTGTCAAGTTAGTGTTACCGTCACAACAGACACGACCGTGAGAGCGACACGTCATGATGTGCGTCATCATCCCGGGTCCAAGCGTCTCCTCTCCACAACAACACGCCTGAACCCTGGACCCGTCTTCTGTCTGCGTGACACGTGTGAAAGAACACTGAACACATTTCCCACAATGCAACTGGATTTATCAATAATATACAGTATTATTCTGCGTTCACGTCACACATGATGTGGCGTAGAGATACAAGGTGCTTGTGTTGCCTTCACGTCAGCAGCCTCACACTGTGAGTTGACGCCATGACGGGAGGCGGCCATGTTTGATTGGTCAGATCCTTCAGAGCGTTTACGACTCTTAGGACAGAAAACATGGTAACATACAATATGACATCTTGGTGCCTTCGTGCCTTTTCAGCGGTCCACTTCAGGGGATGGAGTTACCTGCAACACCACCTGGGAGTTATTATGTGGTCACATGACCACTTGATGACTGAGGTGACAGGGGTCCCTGAATGCACCGTTAAACTAGTGTTCAATACTTTTGACCTCTTCATGAAATAAATAAAAACAACGCACCTAACAAACAGCATGAGGACACGCTGACTCGGGTGTTTCAGAGGATGTCAGGGGGACGGCGTTAAACTGGCTGTGAGGTACGTTTCCTCTCGTGTGGTGGGTGTGTCACAGGTGATACCCAATCAGCAGCAACGTGTATGTAAACACCGCAGAGCGCCTGTGTAGCACGTTTAAAGAAGCGCTCTGTCGGGGCTGAACGGGTGTGTTACCCGTTTCACTCTGAAGTGATGACATCACAGCAGGTGATCGATGAAACACTTTTTCTGATATTTTGCAGGTGAACTTTGAGGATGATGATTGTTTCTGTTTGAGATAATAAAGGAGTTTACAGGTGAAACGGCTCCGTGTCTCTGTCACTGCTGCAGAACACCCTGTTTTTTACACACAGTTTGGTTCAAGACAGTACATTTACTCAGGTACTGTATTTAAGTACAAACTTGGGGTACTTGAACTTTACTTTTTTCATGCCGACTTCTCTACATTTATGTGACAGCTTCAGTTACTTTTTTACACATGAAGAGTTTATAAAATCTGATGTTTAGTTATAAATTAAACTCCAATAGTTTGTACAGCTGACAGGATCATTAGACTGATGGTTTAAAACATTTTTCATGTAAAAACATCTGATGGTTTTTTGGTTCCTTTTAAATATTTTTATTGATCAGTGAATAATGTTGAGCTTTGGGTTCTGGGTCACTGTGTTTCTCACTACTTTCAGAATCAGTGGAGAAAACAATTTTCAACAAGCTTATTGATCGAGAATTATGAGTTATAGTTCAAATGAGCTTCAGCTCAACGACAGCAGCATTAATGATGAGGAAGAATAATAATCTAATATATAATAGTACAACAGTCACATGAAGTACTTTAACGTTTAATACTTTCAGCACATTTTCCTAAATATACTCACATACTTTTACTTTAGTAACAACTTCAATACAGGACTTGTAACACAGTATTTTTACATTGTGGTATTAGTACTTTTACTATAGTAAAGGCTCTGATTACTGAATTAATACTGAAACCTGTTTATAACAACATGATTAATTCTGTTGGTCATGTCTGACAAACACAACCACACTAATAGTAGTTTTTACTTCAGTATTTTTAAAAGCAGGTACTTTTGACTCAAGTAGAAATTTAAATTGCAGACTTTTAGTGGAGTGTTATTTAGAAAGGGTATCTGTACTTTTACCCAAGTACAGGACCTGTGTACCACACACATCAGGCAGGAAGTATGAATCACGATGATGAAGAATAAAGAGCAGACGTCCGGTCAGGAAACAGCACCTCTTTAATGATCCACAAACCTCAAAGTCAGTCATAAATTAATCAATACAAATAAAGTCCTGGCTGGTGGAGCTCGGTGAGGTGCGTCAATAAACTATTAACAGCTGCGCTCAGATTTACTCTGGACCCTGGTCTTCATCCGCCAGACGGACCTCCATATCCCAAAATCAGGTCACGTGACAACAACTGAACTGTCTCCATGACAACTGAGGAAGATCAATCTGCTGAGGAAGACCACAGCTGAAAGCTCTGGAAGTCTCCATAACGCTAACAATGACGCACCCGGTTTCCACAACAGTCATTATTCATTATGGTTCAATACGTTTTAATAGATTCACAGGAGGTTGTTTATTGATAAACATCATGATTATGATCAGAATTATTGAGGTGAATCTCTCCAGCAGCTGATTGGCTGTCTGACGCCTCATCAATCATTATTAGGCCATTAGGAAACGATCACAAGTGTATTAAACGCTGTGGGAACATCTCCTGTTCAGGTTCTCACAGCAGGAACCCCTCAGCTGTCCTCTAGCGCCCCCCGCAGGATAGACATGGGTACTACTGTTCAGATATAAGGCCCAACAGGTTAGGGGGGCATTCAGCAGGACTCAGACAGAAGACAAAGGGGGGCGCTGGAGAGCTGAAGAAGGAGCAGATACTACAGGAGGTGGATTTCTGTCAAAACTCGTTCTCACAGTCAGAACCGGACACAAGTTCAATGACTTCAGGACCTCTGAGGGTCCAAAACAAACTCAGAAACCAGAGAGAGACGTTGCAGAACCTCCTGAGAAGCTCCATGTTTTAATTTTCTTCAGTATCACAGTGAGAGCTGTCTGTACATCCATGCTAACTGCTAACGGGATCTGCCGCTAACGGGATCTGCCGCTAACGGGATCTGCCGCTAACGGGAGCTGCCGCTAACGGGATCTGCCGCTAACGGGAGCTGCCGCTAACGGGATCTGCCGCTAACGGGATCTGCCGCTAACGGGAGCTGCCGCTAACGGGATCTGCCGCTAACGGGATCTGCCGCTAACGGGAGCTGCTGCTAACAGCTAATTCAGCTGCTGTTAATGGGACAGTCTGACTGTGAACTCTTCCAGGCTTTACTACGACCTCTGAGGAGCTTTAATTTTTCTGTCCTCTTACTGGCTCCTAAACAGCCCATGTGTTGGTGTTAGCATGTTAGCATCTATCAGATTAGCAACAACATTTTTACTTTTTACCATTTTTACACACAAGTCAGAGCTGCTTCGGGTTTTTAATTTGCCGCGGTCTTATAAATACGTCAGCAGCTCTGCTTCCTGTCCGTCCATCACCCAGCCGATCAATACCACAGCTGTGACCTCGGCCGCAGGAAACGCATCAGAGCGGCCGTCCTGGTTCAAGTCAGCAGCTTTGTTTGTTTCGGAGAGGAAGTCACTTCCTGTTGGTCGTTTCAATCAAGTATAAAATCAATCACATTAATCAGTCCACACGCTCGCTAATAGCACAACGCTAGCAGCTAGCTCTACAGTTTTTACCCATAATCCCGCAGACCTGGCGTCAGTGTGCAGGTCTGAGCCCAGCCGTCGAACAGCGATAAAGCTCAGTGAACGCCAGCGGAGGGCGCCGGCTCCCCGCCTGCAGCCGTCAGTAACACGTCAGTCCTTAGCCTCTGATCAGATGGTTTAGGCGGGCTGCAGCGGGACGCAGCCGACGCCGACCCCCCCCTCGTGGCAGACCATGGGGGCCATGAAGGTCCAGCGGTTGGTGTCGGGGTTGTACTTCTCCACAGAGCTGAGGTTGGACTGTCCGTCGTAGCCGCCCACAGCGTACAGACGCCCCGACGTGGAGACCAGCGACACTCGGCTGCGCCGCGTGTTCATGGCCACCAGGAGGCTCCACTGACCCGACACTGAGCTGAACACCTCCGCCCCGCTCAGGAAGCCCGAGCCGTCGTAACCCCCCGCCACGTACATGTGACTGCCGAGCGCCGCCGCCCCGTGACGGCACCGCTTGTTCATCATGGCTGCCGCCGGGTGCCATCGGTTAGTGTGGTGGTTGTAGTACTCCACCTGCAGGACGGGAGGGGAAGAACAACACAAAACACTTCAAGAACTTCATTCAGGACTACACATATGTAAGTACGCTGTGTTAACAGGCAGGACAGTTATCTGACTCAGCTGGGGCTGATCAGCTGACCGTGTTGAAGATCTGTAAACCGTCATGGCCGCCAGAGACAAAGATGCGTCCGTCAAACACGGTCACCCCGGCAGCACTGCGGCTCGCACTCATCTCCGTCACCACCGTCCACCTGCAGCAGATTATCATCAGTATCAGAATTATTGGAACGCAGACCTGCAGCTGAGCAAAATATGAAGACAGTCGCAGGTAAACGTGTGTGAAATCTGGAATCAGCCGGTCGTTGGTCATAAAATCTGATCTGATCTTCATCTAAGTCTCAAACACAGTCTGCTGAAACTAAAACCACACGAACAAAACGTTTACAGAGCAGGGTGGAAAAAGGGAGGGAACCCCCAGGCTAATGACTTCTGACAGTCAGGAGTCAGCCAACCTGGTATACAGTACTGCATGAAGTTAACTGCTGTCGGGTGAGACTCACCTGTCGGTCTCTGGAGAGTAACACTCCACTGAGTTCAGAGATGATTTTCCGTCGTAGCCGCCGCACACATAGATGTGCCCGTCAATCACAACCGTTCCCATGGCGCTGAGGACAACAACATGTTTTAGGATCAGTGTGCTGAGTGATATTGGTCAGTGTATTGATCAGTACTGCTCAGGACTGATCAGGTATTGACCTGCGCTGGCTGTTCATGCTCGACACGTGTGTCCAGCTGTCCGTCTCCGGGTTGTAAACCTCCACCGTGCTGAGCCTCGACTGGCCGTCGTATCCACCAATGGCGTACAGCAGACCGTTAACGACGGCCACGCCCACTCTGCTGCGAGCCGTCCTCATCGGCTGACAGCGCTCCCAGAAGTTCCCAATTGGATCGAACACTTCGACCACGTTTAAGGAGTCACCTGAAAAAAACCCACCCAAGACAATCAGCTGATCTGTGACAACCCTGACGTCCCCAACTAATCAGCAGCCTGCTCAGCAGCTGCAGTTCCTCCACCTTCCACCAGGCGCTGCTGTGACCAGACTGTGTTGAACTGAATGACAAACCTTCACAGCTGTGATCACCACTGAGGGACCGACTTCCTGTAGACGTTCTGCTGCAGCACTGCGGCCCCTGTTGTTTCTGCTCTATATCATTTAACTGACCCCCAGGAGCCCACACCATGCACACATATTAAACATTAAAGCATTTCAACAAGAGTAAACTGTCTAACATGTACTTGCTTGGCGCTGCACTCCTGGTCCAGGCTGATCAATAATCACAACAGGTGAACAACAATGATCACATTAACCAGCTTTCCTTAGAGGAAACGGCCATCACAAGCTACCAGCAGCATGTCTGTACAGCTAACCCTGTCATTAGTGTTCAGGTGAGCGGCTCCTGTATCACAGCGTGGCAGAACAATAACCTGATTTAGACACGCCTTGATTGATGGGACTCTCAGCCAATCACAGTCAGCTCTTACCTGTCAGCTCTACAGACACACAGGTGTGTTCGGACAGACAGGTGGGCAGGGTACCTGAGCTGTTGAGTCCTCCCACAGCGTAGATGAGTCCTGTGATGGACGTGCAGCACCTCTGTCTGGTCTTGAAGGCCGGCAGGTGAGGACGACGCTCTGGCATCAGGTGGAAGTCTTTGGCTTCATCCACCAGATCTCTGACAGGAAGCGATAGAGTCAGAGTCAAATAAAGAGACAGAGATAGAGTAAGAGACAGAGATGGAGTCAGAGACAGAGATAGAGTCAGACAGAGTCAGAGATAGAGACAGAGATAGAGACAGAGACAGACAGAGTCTGAGACAGAGTCAGAGATAGAGTCAGACAGAGTCAAATACAGAGACAGAGATAGAGTAAGAGACACAGACAGAGTCAAATTCAGAGATAGAGACAGAGATAGAGACAGAGATAGAGATAGAGTTAGAGTCAGAGATAGAGTAAGAGTCAGAGACAGAGATAGAGACAGAGATAGAGTCAGAGAGAGAGTAAGAGACAGAGAGAGTCAAATACAGAGATAGGGACAGAGATAGGGTCAGAGAGAGAGATAGAGTCAGAGACAGAGATAGAGTCAAATACAGAGACAGAGACAGATGAGTCAGAGATAAAGTCAGAGATAGAGTCAGAGTCAGAGTCAAATAAAGAGAGAGTCAAATACAAAGACAGAGACAGATGAGTCAGAGATAAGAGTCAGAGACAGAGACAGGGTCAAATACAGAGATAGAGACAGAGATAAAGTCAGAGACAGACAGAGTCTGAGACAGAGTCAAATACAGAGACAGAGACAGAGATAGAGTAAGAGACAGAGACAGAGATAGAGACAGAGATAGAGACAGAGACAGACAGAGTCTGAGACAGAGTCAAATACAGAGACAGAGACAGAGATAGAGTAAGAGACAGAGACAGAGATAGAGACAGAGATAGAGTCAGAGAGAGAGTAAGAGACAGAGATAGAGACAGAGATAGAGATAGAGTTAGAGTCAGAGATAGAGTAAGAGTCAGAGACAGAGATAGAGACAGAGATAGAGTCAGAGAGAGAGTAAGAGACAGAGAGAGTCAAATACAGAGATAGGGACAGAGATAGGGACAGAGATAGGGTCAGAGAGAGAGATAGAGTCAGAGACAGAGATAGAGTCAAATACAGAGATAGAGACAGAGATAAAGTCAGAGATAGAGTCAGAGTCAGAGTCAAATAAAGAGAGAGTCAAATACAAAGACAGAGACAGATGAGTCAGAGATAAGAGTCAGAGACAGAGACAGGGTCAAATACAGAGATAGAGACAGAGATAGAGTAAGAGTCAAATACAGAGATAGAGTCAGAGATAGAGACAGAGTCAGAGAGAGTCAGAGACAGAGTCAAATACAGAGACAGAGATAGAGTCAGAGATAGAGACAGAGACAGAGTCAGAGACAGAGTAAGAGACAGAGAGAGTCAAAAACAGAGAGAGAGTCAAATACAGAGACAGAGATGAGTCAGAGACAGAGTCAGAGATAAGAGTCAGAGACAGAGATAAAGACAGAGATAGAGTAAGAGTCAAATACAGAGATAGAGTCAGAGATAGAGTAAGAGTCAGGGAGAGTCAGAGACAGAGTCAAATACAGAGACAGAGATAGAGTCAGAGAGAGACAGAGAGAGTCAGAGACAGAGTCAGAGACAGAGTCAGAGTCAAATACAGAGATAGAGTCAGAGATAGAGTAAGAGAGAGTAAGAGTCAGAGATAGAGACAGACAGTGTCAGAGACAGAGATATAGTGATAGATAGACCCAGAGTCAGAGACAGAGTCAGATATAGAGTAAGAGTCAGACACAGAGTCAGAGATAGAGACAGACACAGAATCATAGACAGACACAGTGTCAGACAGAGTCAGAGATAGAGTCAGAGACAGACACAGCGTCAGACACAGAATCATAGACAGACACAGAATCATAGACCGACACAGTGTCAGACACAGAGTCAGAGATAGAGATAGAGACAGAGACAGGGTCAGATACAGAGTCAGAGATAGAGATAGAGTCATAGACAGACCCAGAGTCAGAGACAGAGTCAGATATAGAGTAAGAGTCAGAGAAAGAGTCAGAGAGAGAGTATAATGTCTCAGCCCTATTGTACAAAGAGACAAATGTGGGCTTTTTTGTCTCACCTGCATCTATGGCAGCAGCGTACGAGGTCGTCCTGCTGGACTCTGTCTGAGAGGAACTGAGGTCGACACAGAGGAAGTCTGATCTTTGACAGCAGCTCCGGCAGCAGAGACTCCCTCCGGTCCCGGTCATGATGAACCCAGGCCAGCACCGCCTCATACACCTTCACAAGTAAAACAAATTCAACACACCTGCACAGGTACAACACATTCGACACACCTCACACACCTGCACAGGTACAACACATTTGACACACTTCACACACCTGCACAGGTACAACACATTTGACTAACCTCACACAGGTACAACACATTCGACGTATCTCACACACATGCACAGGTACAACACATTCGACTAACCTCACACAGGTACAACACATTCGACTAACCTCACACAGGTACAACACATTCGACTAACCTCACACAGGTACAACACATTCGACGTATCTCACACACATGCACAGGTACAACACATTTGACGTATCTCACGCACATGCACAGGTACAACACATTCGACTAACCTCACACAGGTACAACACATTCGACTAACCTCACACAGGTACAACACATTCGACGTATCTCACGCACATGCACAGGTACAACACATTCGACAAACCTCACACAGGTACAACACATTCGACTAACCTCACACAGGTACAACACATTCGACGTATCTCACACACATGCACAGGTACAACACATTCGACTAACCTCACACAGGTACAACACATTCGACTAACCTCACACAGGTACAACACATTCGACGTATCTCACACACATGCACAGGTACAACACATTCGACGTATCTCACGCACATGCACAGGTACAACACATTCGACTAACCTCACACAGGTACAACACATTCGACGTATCTCACACACATGCACAGGTACAACACATTCGACTAACCTCACACAGGTACAACACATTCGACTAACCTCACACAGGTACAACACATTCGACTAACCTCACACAGGTACAACACATTCGACGTATCTCACACACATGCACAGGTACAACATATTCAACACACCTCACACACCTGCACAGGTACAACACATTCGACTAACCTCACATGTGTGGCGTCTCACCTGTTCCTCTGCCTTGATGTTGAGTTCGTCACAGCCCACCAGCTCCAGCACCTCCTCCGTCCTCAGACCCAGGAACTCCTCGGACACAGAGACCTCCACAAAGTGCTGGTGGAGGAAGCTGCTGGCTGAGTCGTACAGAGTCGTACACATCATGGTCTCTGCAAACTGTCGCACCCCCAGACAGTTCTTCGGATGTAACCTGGACACCGAAGACCAGAGGACACAGAGACTTAGAGACAGACTCAGACACAGAGACAGACTTGGACTCAGAGAAAGACTAAGAGACAGACTCAAAGACAGACTCAGATTTAGAGACAGAGACAGACTCTCCTGACCTCTCCTGCAGGAAGGAGCAGCAGGCATCTTTAACGTTCTGCAGCTGCAGGAAGCTCGAGCCAATCAGAAGAGCCTGAACGTTCTGCTGGTCGATGGCAACATGGCCGCTGTAGGCAAAGTTGATCAGGGCCTCCAGAGCGCTGTGGGGAGACAGGGACTGGGTCAGACTGTTCACACCGGGAGTAAAGTACCGGTACCTGTACTGGTCTCTGGTTACCTGGGGTCCATGCCGTGCATCAGGATCTCGTCCTGTTTACACTCCACCATGTCGTTGGTGAACATGGCGTGAAAGTACGGGATGGAGGCCGCCAGAACGATCCGGTGAGCGCTGAACTTGTGATCCCCAACCTGCAGAGGACAAGAAGATATCAGTATACAGGGTCCTCACCAGCTGCAGTGATTTCACCACCTGTACAGTGTCCTCACCACCTGCAGTGTCCTCACCACATGTACAGTGTTCTCACCACATGTACAGTGTCCTCACCACCTGTACAGTGATTTCACCACCTGTACAGTGTCCTCACCACCTGTACAGTGTCCTCACCACCTGTACAGTGTCCTCACCACATGTACAGTGTCCTCACCACCTGTACAGTGTTCTCACCACCTGTACAGTGTCCTCACCACCTGTACAGTGTCCTCACCACATGTACAGTGTTCTCACCACCTGTACAGTGTTCTCACCACCTGTACAGTGTTCTCACCACCACAGTGTTCTCACCACCTGTACAGTGTCCTCACCACCTGTACAGTGTCCTCACCACATGTACAGTGTCCTCACCACCTGTACAGTGTTCTCACCACCTGTACAGTGTCCTCACCACCTGTACAGTGTCCTCACCACATGTACAGTGTTCTCACCACCTGTACAGTGTCCTCACCAGCTGCAGTGATTTCACCAACTGTACAGTGTCCTCACCAACTGTACAGTGTCCTCACCACCTGTACAGTGTTCTCACCACCACAGTGTTCTCACCACCTGTACAGTGTCCTCACCACCTGTACAGTGTCCTCACCACATGTACAGTGTCCTCACCACCTGTACAGTGTTCTCACCACCTGTACAGTGTCCTCACCACCTGTACAGTGTCCTCACCACATGTACAGTGTTCTCACCACCTGTACAGTGTCCTCACCAGCTGCAGTGATTTCACCAACTGTACAGTGTCCTCACCACCTGTACAGTGTCCTCACCACCTGTACAGTGTTCTCACCACCACAGTGTTCTCACCACCACAGTGTTCTCACCACCTGTACAGTGTCCTCACCACCTGTACAGTGTTCTCACCACATGTACAGTGTTCTCACCAGTACAGTGTCCTCACCTGTACAGTGTCCTCACCACCTGTACAGTGTCCTCACCACCTGTACAGTGTCCTCACCAGCTGCAGTGATTTCACCAACTGTACAGTGTTCTCACCACCAGTACAGTGTTCTCACCACCTGTACAGTGTCCTCACCACCTGTACAGTGTCCTCACCACCTGTACAGTGTCCTCACCACCAGTACAGTGTCCTCACCACCAGTACAGTGTTCTCACCACCTGTACAGTGTTTTCACCACATGTACAGTGTCCTCACCACCAGTACAGTGTCCTCACCACCTGTACAGTGTCCTCACCACCTGTACAGTGTCCTCACCACCTGTACAGTGTCCTCACCACCTGTACAGTGTCCTCACCAGCTGCAGTGATTTCACCAACTGTACAGTGTTCTCACCACCAGTACAGTGTTCTCACCACCTGTACAGTGTTCTCACCACCTGTACAGTGTCCTCACCACCTGTACAGTGTCCTCACCACCTGTACAGTGTCCTCACCACCTGTACAGTGTCCTCACCACCTGTACAGTGATTTCACCACCTGTACAGTGTCCTCACCACCTGTACAGTGTCCTCACCACATGTACAGTGTCCTCACCACCTGTACAGTGTTCTCACCACCTGTACAGTGTCCTCACCACCTGTACAGTGTCCTCACCACATGTACAGTGTTCTCACCACCTGTACAGTGTCCTCACCAACTGTACAGTGTCCTCACCAGCTGCAGTGATTTCACCAACTGTACAGTGTCCTCACCAACTGTACAGTGTCCTCACCACCTGTACAGTGTTCTCACCACCACAGTGTTCTCACCACCTGTACAGTGTCCTCACCACCTGTACAGTGTTCTCACCACATGTACAGTGTTCTCACCAGTACAGTGTTCTCACCACCTGTACAGTGTCCTCACATGTACAGTGTCCTCACCACCTGTACAGTGTCCTCACCACCTGTACAGTGTTCTCACCACCTGTACAGTGTCCTCACCACCTGTACAGTGTCCTCACCAGCTGCAGTGATTTCACCAACTGTACAGTGTTCTCACCACCAGTACAGTGTTCTCACCACCTGTACAGTGTTCTCACCACCTGTACAGTGTTCTCACCAGTACAGTGTCCTCACCACCTGTACAGTGTCCTCACCACCTGTACAGTGTCCTCACCACCAGTACAGTGTCCTCACCACCAGTACAGTGTTCTCACCACCTGTACAGTGTTTTCACCACATGTACAGTGTCCTCACCACCAGTACAGTGTTCTCACCAGTACAGTGTTCTCACCAGTACAGTGTTCTCACCACCTGTACAGTGTCCTCACCACCTGTACAGTGTCCTCACCACCTGTACAGTGTTCTCACCACCTGTACAGTGTCCTCACCACCTGTACAGTGATTTCACCACCTGTACAGTGTCCTCACCACCTGTACAGTGTCCTCACCACATGTACAGTGTCCTCACCACCTGTACAGTGTTCTCACCACCTGTACAGTGTCCTCACCACATGTACAGTGTTCTCACCACCTGTACAGTGTCCTCACCAACTGTACAGTGTCCTCACCAGCTGCAGTGATTTCACCAACTGTACAGTGTCCTCACCAACTGTACAGTGTCCTCACCACCTGTACAGTGTTCTCACCACCACAGTGTTCTCACCACCTGTACAGTGTCCTCACCACCTGTACAGTGTTCTCACCACATGTACAGTGTTCTCACCAGTACAGTGTTCTCACCACCTGTACAGTGTCCTCACATGTACAGTGTCCTCACCACCTGTACAGTGTCCTCACCACCTGTACAGTGTTCTCACCACCTGTACAGTGTCCTCACCACCTGTACAGTGTCCTCACCAGCTGCAGTGATTTCACCAACTGTACAGTGTTCTCACCACCAGTACAGTGTTCTCACCACCTGTACAGTGTTCTCACCACCTGTACAGTGTTCTCACCAGTACAGTGTCCTCACCACCTGTACAGTGTCCTCACCACCTGTACAGTGTCCTCACCACCAGTACAGTGTTCTCACCACCTGTACAGTGTTTTCACCACATGTACAGTGTCCTCACCACCAGTACAGTGTTCTCACCAGTACAGTGTTCTCACCAGTACAGTGTTCTCACCACCTGTACAGTGTCCTCACCACCAGTACAGTGTTCTCACCACCAGTACAGTGTTCTCACCACCAGTACAGTGTTCTCACCACCAGTACAGTGTTCTCACCACCAGTACAGTGTTCTCACCACCAGTACAGTGTTCTCACCTGTACAGTGTTCTCACCACCACGTGTTCTTGTGGGGATGTGAGGATGTAGTGACAGGTTTTATAAATACACGGCAGCGTTTATCCACTAGACTTCCACACAGGTAACTCTGACATGTTAACACACACACACACACACACACAGTGACACCTCTCTGATCACCATGACGACCTGACAGCCAACCAGCGTCCAGCGCGACAGCAGGTCTCAGGTGTTTCCGGTGTGCGGCAGGTCAAAGGTTAGCCGCGTGTGCTTTAATGAACTTGTTGATGCTGACGGCGTGTGACGTCAGCAACCTGTCTGAACCGGCCGTTAGCCTGTTAGCCCTGTTGTTATCCCGGCTAACCTCAGCTAGCTTCCTGCTGCCGTTAGCCGCCTAGCACGCGAGCTCCAGCCGCGAGCCCCGTCACGGTTACCTTGAGCGTGACATCACAGAGCTTCCCCTGACGTCGGATCTCCTCCATGACGACATAGCCTCGTGCCGGCAGGTCGTGCACCGTGAAGTGAACTAAATCCTCGAGCTCTTCACAGAGAACGTCTCCCATCGTCAGCAGGAGCGGCGGAGCGGCGCGGACTGACCCTCCGAGCCGCCGTACAGGGACAGGCTAACGTCAAACTCACCGGCGCAAGCAAGCGCACATCCGGCTACAGCCTTCACAATAAAAGCCACGGTACAACACTTCCGCTGAGACTGTCAATATTTAAACTACACATTTTATTGTATTTTTGTGTGTTGTTGTGTATTATTATTGTTAGTGTGTATGTTGTTGTGCACTTTTTAAAGAATATATTGTAAATGTGTATAATTAAGGCGGGAGAAGCCAGAGCTCAAGCATTTCTCTTGATTAACATGACAACAATAAAACATTCATAATGTTTGACCCTGAAACTACAATAACTCACTTTTTATCTGTAATTGTACAAAAATGCAGAAGCCCACCTGTGCGTTTCTCAGTCACCTGAACTCTGCAGCTCTTACATTTTGTTTGTTAAATATATATATATATATATATACACATACACATATATATATATATACATATATATATACATATATACACACATATATATATATATATACATATATATATATATACATACATACATATACATATATATATACATATATATATATA